ACCACATAGGTCTCTGGGATCAAACTCAGGTTTGGTAGTAAGTGCCTTTACCCATTGAGCTGTCTCTCTAGCCCTATCTCCAATGGTCTATTGTTTCTTTTAAACATAAGCCTCTAAATTTAAGCCTTTATATTTAAAGTGAGCATAGACGTACAAAAATACTGATTATTCCTGAGATTGTTAGATGGATCTTCTTATTTGTCTTGTTTTGATTTGGATTTTTCAGGTAAGGTTTCAGGTAAGCCAGGCTTGCTTCAAACCCTTGGGCTCCTAGGTGCTGAGCTTACAGGCATTCTCTACTCGTGGCCCAGGATCATGGCTCTTAAGAAGCAATTTTAAGTACAAATTAATCAAGGGCCTTTCACTAGGCTGGCCCGTCTATGATATCAAAATAAACCTAATTTATTGTTTCACTTGTTAAGACTATTTGTGATTTTTTTCCCTCTTGCTTTTGTCTTATTTTGTGATTTACTTCTCAGTATGATTGTCTTTAGTATATAGGACGACCTACTGATTTTTGTATAAGTTTTGTATGTAAATATCTTGCCACATTGCTGAATGTTTTTGTTGGCTCTAGTAAGAGTTTTCTGGTGGAGTTAAGTGTCTTTTGTATATGGAATCGTATCATCTGCAAATCGGAATTCTTTGACTTCATTTTCTATTTGCATACCGTACATTTCCTTCTTTGGTTGCACTGCTCGGTCTAAGTCTTAAAGTACTACATTGAAAAGCAGTGGAGGTCATGGGTACCCTCATCCTCTTCCTGATTTTGGTAAAAACGCTTTGGGTTTTTTCCATTTAGATGTTGCCAGCTACGGGTTAGTATATATCTTTTATTATGTTGAAATATGTTCTTCCTTCCTCCTCCTTCTTCCTCTTTTTTTTTTTTTTGTCTTTTTGACACAGGTGCACTTATGTGCAGGCAATACACTCATACACATAAATCAGAATAATAAATAAAATATTTTTAAAAAGAAAATTTAATTCAGTACACACTTGGTCTCAAGGGCAGGAAAGGCCACCCTTGTTAAGCCAAGATCCACAAATGAGAGAACATATGTCACATTTTTTCTGAGTCTGTTATTTTACTTAGTATAACAGCTTCTAGTTCTATCAATTTACCTGTAAATTTCATGTTTTTGTCTTTCTTTACTGCTGTACAAAACTCTGTTGCACAATTGTACCATATTTTCTTTACCCATTCATCAATTGAGGGACATTTAAGTTGTTTCTATTTTTCAGCTATTGTGAAAGGAGTATTAACAAACATCGCTATATACTATTTCTGCAGTAGGATTGATCCTTTGGGTTTATACCAAGGAGTTGTATAGCCAGATCATATGGAGGATTTATTTATTTATTTTTTTACATTTTTTATTGAGTTTTTGTAATTTCATATAGCAGTTATTAATCAAATTTAGAACTCCTCCCCCATCCATACCTCCCCATCCACCCACTGAACCTCATCTATTTCACCATACATGTTAAGTCTTGTTCATTCAGGCATTTGTACCAAAATGTCCTTCAGCGTAAATGCATCCACTGGAGTCTAGTCAGCCCTTCTAGTGATCATACATAAGTCATACTCTCCCTTACTCAGCACTAGTCAGTCTCAAATAGTGTCTAGTGCCAGCCAGCCACTTATTTCCCTCCTCTTTGGGACCTTGTTTAATTGAGTTGATATGGGTCCTGTGCTCAATACCACCATTGCCACAAGTTCACATGTTCAAGTTTTCAGTGTCCTGGAAGCCTCTGCTTCTCTGTGTTCATGAACCAGCCCTGGCTCTTACAATCTTTCTGCCCCCTCCTCCACAATGGTCTCTGACCTGTGGATGGATGAGTTTCCATATAGAAGTCCTATCCTACACTCTACAGCCTCTTATTCTTTAAAACTTGGCCATTTGTGGCCTTCTGTGTGCATGTCACTCTGTTGTATAAGGAAGCTTTACTGGTGAGAGTTGAGGGACGCATTAGTTTTCTCTCTACCCCTTGTTCTGCTATGTTCCAGGAGCCTTAGTTGTAGAGGTTCTACTGTAGATGTGTCACCTAGTACTGGGCATCTCTCAGACGTATGTTCTCTGTGCCTGACCAGATGTGCAATTCTGCAGTAGCCTCCATCTGTTGCAAAAAGGAGCTTCTTTGATGAGTGCTATATAGTACACTTGTCTGTAAATAGATGGATTGATATTTAGCCAATAGTAAGAAGTTTCATTTGTCTTGAGATATGAAAGTTTAAGAGTTTTCTCTCAGATCTGTGTCCTCTCCTTCCATGTGTATTTGGCTGAGTTTACAGTGCCACTCATGAGTTCCCTCCCATTGAGAGGGCTTTATACCTAATTAGATAGCTGTTGATTGCCTTCCAGATAACAGTGCCACTACTGTACCAATAGGAGTAGTTTGCCACACTGGTTGGTATGGTTATTAGGCTTTAGGGCTGGGTTGGACCATTGATTGTTTTTCTCCCTTGGCAGTTTGCATATCATCTAGCATTATGATAGCCAGACTTCAGTTAGAAGGCTTCTAGGTCAGTTCCTGGTCCATTGTTTCAAGTCCTGTACCTAAGTATGTCCTGTCCTCAACAGTAGGATTTTATCTGCTAGTTTTGGGAGATAGTCCAGAGAGGTTTGGCAATATCCTGTGCTATTTTGGGAGTCTCCTGAACCACCTCCACAAATCTCTCTATTTTTAATTTTGTACAGATTCTTCATACTGATTTCCACAATGGTTAAAGCAGTTTGCAGTCCCTTCAGCAGTGAATGGGGGTTCCCCTTTCCCTACGTCTATGCTAACATTCAATGTCATTTGTTCTCTTTTTTTTAGCCATCTAACTTAAAACCTTAAAGTAGTTTTGATTTGCATTTCCCTAATTACTAAGGATGCTGAACACTTTTTAAAGGTGTGTTTTTAGCCATTTTTATTTCTTTTGCGAGTTCTCTGTTCAGATCCATAGCCCATTTTTAATTGGGTCATTTGTTTTCTTCTTTGTTTTTTGAGTTCTTCGTATATTCTGGATATTAATACCCTGTCAGATATATAACTGGTGGAGATTTTCATCCACTCTGTGGGCTTCCTCTTCACTCTAGCGGCTGTTTCCTTTGTTGAAACTTTTAGAAGAAAACATAGGCAATGCCCTACCCTACAAGATATAGGTATAGGAAAGGACTTTTGTCTTAAAAATTTTATGTGTATATGTGTTGCCTACATGTGGGTAAGTGCACCCGTGTCGTGCAGTGCACACAGAAGTCAGAAGAGGTTGTCAGATCCCCTGGGACTGGAGTTACAGACAGTTGTTAGGTGCTATGTGGGTGCTGGGAATCGAACCTGGGTCTTCTGCAAGAACAACCAATGTTCTTAACTGCTGAGCCGTTGCTCCAGCCCCAAGAAAGGGCTTTCTAAATCAGACTTCACTTGCTCAGGAATTAACATCAACAGCTAAATGGGACCTCATTAAATTAAATAGCTTTGGCCTGCTTTTGCCATGGAAAGCTTTTCTTTCTCTTTCCATTATGTCAGATTGTTTTGCGGGTTATATCAATCTGGATTGGCAGTTGGGGTTTTTCAGAACTTGAACTACATCGATCTTTCCATCCCTCATCTTTTTTCCAAGCAACAAGAAGGAAACTATTGGTTATATATGTGAGGGTAATGTGCCTGCTTCACAAGCATGAGGACCTGAGTTCAGATCCCAGCATCCACATTAATCAAATTAGATCCTCCTTATGAGCAGTATGCACTCTTAACCATTGAGCAATCTCTCCAGCCCTGGGTTTTCATTCTTAAACTGTCATATTTTAATATGTAAGTAATAAGGTATTTTGAAATAAGCAGGCAGATGTGAACAAGGAGAAAAAGTTGGAAGCAATTTACCAAAATGAAACTAAAATGCTGTAAAATACTGTGTGGATTTAAATGGGCATCAATATAAAGTGACTTTTTGATAATATTTTTAAAATATTTTCTTTGAAGTTGGACATGAAAACAAAAATGATGGAAGCAAAATTTCATGAAGAAAAACTTAAATTACAACAGAAACATGATGCTGATATACAGAAGGTAGGGTATAGATCACTTATTTTGTATGTAATAATTAATGTATTCCAGTTTTGTGATGGTCCATGCATTGTTTTTCAATCTATTCATTGACTTAGTTATGTATTTGGTTATAGAACATGTTGTAAATGGAATTTGTAAAAATAATGACTCATAAAAAGTTGATCTGTAAACTTTATTTGCAAAATGTGTTTATTTCAGTCCTCATTTTATATTACCTTTAAGTTCTTCGAGTATTATTTTATGGTGGAATTTCTTACAGGTTTTATCTTTCATTTTATCATTACCATTTATTATTTGTATGTGCGCATGTGTATGAGTGTGTATGTGTGTGTGTGTGTGTATGTGTGTGCAGGTGTGTGTGCAGGTGTGTATACTTTGGGGAATCCACCACTGAGCCATTTTGGACAGGATCTCACTAAATTGCTCAGGCTGGCATTAAACTCACTCTATGACAGGCAGCCCTGGACCCCATTATCCTCTTGCCTTGGCTTCCCATGTAGTTTGGATGGATAGGGTTTTGCTCCATTTATGGAATTTGAAATAGATAAAAATGTAAATGTTATCATGTTTCCTAATCATTCAGTTTTCTGATATAGTTTTCTTTTTTAATTAATTAGATTCAGGGTTACACTGTTTCCTAGCTGGCCTCAAACTTGTGATCCTCCCAGCTAGGTCTCCATAGTAGTGGGGTTTTCATGTGAGCCACTACACCTTGCTTTTCTTGGTTTGAAAAGGGTCTTTTGGCCTTAGTTTCATTTGGTATCGATTGCCTGAAGTGTAATGCTAGCACCAACAATGAAGGCTTACTTTTTGAGTAGTCCATTGAGAATTATGCTTTTCATTGTTTCAGCATTTATCGATCATCTATCTATCTATCTATCTATCTATCTATCTATCTATCTTCTATCTATCTTTTTACTTATTGTGTGTGTTACTGGGTATTGATCGAAGGGCCTCTTATAGCTAGACAAGTGCTGGGCTACCTCCCCATCCATTTAAAAAATGTTTTTGTTTTGATACAGTATCTCACTAAGTTGCCCAGGCTGGCCTTGATCTCACTGTGTGATTCTTCTGTCTTAGGCTCCCGAGTAGTTGAGATTACAGGGATGTACCACTGAGATTGGCCCCAATTTTTCAGTATTTTTAAAATAAAAATTGTTTCTCCACCAGAGCCTCAGCAAACCAACTTATGGTTATACTATATAGAATTTTAGTTGATACTATATTTTTGAAATGACTTAAAAATTTCAGGAATAATAATGTGTGTTTTAAATACATGGTTTATACAAATAGTAACTTCACATATGTTCTTTCAAAACTGGGCCTATGTGTCTGCTTCTCAAAAGTAAGTAACAAAGAATCAGCTGGGCCCACACTGTAACTGCCAATGATTACAACAAAAAGCCATTGTTTTCTCTAATTCTATTCTCTTATCTTTTATTTATTTTTATGTGTATGAGTATATTGCCTGCATTGTGTATAAGTGCACTTGTGTCATGCAATGCCTGTGGAGGTCAGAAGAGGGTGTCAGATCCCTTGGAACTGGAGTTATGGACAGTTGTTAGCTGCCATGTGGGTGCTGGGAATTGAACTTGGGTCCTCTACAGGAGCTCTTAACTTCAGTGCTTTTAATCGCTGAGCCATCTTTCTAGCCCCTTATCTTTTTTTTTTAAGTGATGATTCTTTATGTTAGAAATAGCAAGTCATTAATAAAATATAACAACTATAAATATGTGGGTCCTGGGGGGGATGAAACTTAGGTTGTCAGGCTTAGCAGCAAGCACTTTTAACTTTGAGCCACCTCACCAGCCCATTCTTGTATATTAGAAGAAAGAAAAAGATTACCACAAGCTTGGAAAATGAATGACCCTAATAACTTTGCATGTAAGACTTTTAATATTTACTTTTCAAATCTTTTTCACTCTGCAGAGTTTTTTTTCAGTTTTTTTCTTTTAAAATAATTGATAATGATGATATCTTCACAATTAACAGTATTATAAAAATTGACCAAAAAAAAAAAAAATCAGCTGGGCATGGTAATTCCAGCACTGGCAAGGCAAGTAGTCCCAGGCTGGTCTTAAACTCACTCTGTAGCCTAGGTAGGCCTTGACCTCATCATCCTCTTCCCTTAGTCTTCTGAGTAGCTGTTATGTCTAGTGTGTACCGCCAGACTTACTTGACTCCAGAGAGAGGGACCATGTATCAAAAATTAAAGAAAAATAAAACAAGGACAGAGGCAGGAAATTGAGGACATGGCATTATGCACCTGAGCTTTCTCAGAAGTAGAAAATTTATTAGCATTTATCCAGGTGTTATTGGACTCTGACTCTCTCTCTCTCTCTCTCTCTCTCTCTCTCTCTCTCTCTCTGTGCACAAGTGTATGAGGATGTGCTTGCTTGTGTGTGTAGAGGTCAGAATACAACTTTGAATATCTTCTATTTTGTTTGATGAAACAGGGTCTTTCACTGAATCTGGAGCTGGCTATTTTGGCTAGCCTGGCGAGCGTCTGGGATCTGCCTTTATTCACTACTCCCAGGGCTAGCATTTTAGACACATGCTGCCATGCCCAGCTTTTATTTGTGCTGGGGATCTGAGTTCAGGTCCTTATGCTTCAGGCACATTTCCCACTGAGCCATCTCCCCCTCCCTCATCTTATTTTTCGAAGTAACAAGAAGGAAACTACTGCTTACACATTTGAGAAAAATTTAGTTCTTTTCCTTTCCCTCTTCCCATTCAAATGATAAAGCAAATATCTTTTGCTATTATTAGGCCTTTACTTTAAAAGACTTGTTTAGATAAAATAATTTTCTATAAATTTTCATTATAAATTTATATAATGAAATTTTACTATAAAATATCCAAATGAAATATAATCTTTTGAAGTTTAATATGTTGATGTGTAGGATAAATGAATTTAAAAGATCTATTTGGAAGAATCATACTGATAGATTTTTAAATAGGCTTCTTGGTATGTATATTAGATACCTTTCTCACCATCATCACCAAATACTTGGCAAGAAGCTACTTAAAAGAGGATTTATTTTGCCTTAAAATTTTAGGGGATACAGTTTACCATGGTGGGGAAAGTTTAGTGGTAGGCTTCTCTATGGCCATGGGATCTTGTAGCAGCTGATTACTCACATCTCTTCTTTAAATGTATATTTTAATTAAATTTTTGTGCATTTCTTATAAGACATCTTAATCATCATCATACTCTCTCCCCCTTCCAGGCCCCCCATAGCTCACCCCACTGGATTTCATGCATTCTGTCATATATATTGAGGCCTATTGAGTCAAGTTAGTGTACCTAGACATTCCTCAGTACAAGTTCATCCACTGGGGTCTAGTCAGCCTATCTAGAATCTCTCCCTTAAAGAAGATGAACTCTCCCTTACCCAGCAGTAATCAGCTACCAATAGTTCTTTGACTAAGGTTGGGGCCTGTTGCCCATTTCCCCACTTCTGTGCTGGGTTTTTGTCTGATTGAGTTTACATGGGTCTTGTACATGCTGACACTATTGCTGTAGGTTCATATGAGCAAGATCCCAGGAACCTGTAAGACTCTTTCCATATGGTCACGCACCTCCTCCCCTGGCTCTTATAATCTTTCTGCCCCCTCTTCTGCGATGGTCCCTGAGCCCTGGGTGGGTGAAGTTTAATATAGGAGTCCTGTCCATGGACCCATACTCTGCAGACTCTTATTCTTTATACTTTGGACATTTGTTGCCTTTGTGTTCATTTCCCTTTGTTACATGAGGGAGCTTTGTTGATGAGAGTTGAGGAATACATAGTACTCTGTCTACCCATTGTTCCACTATGTTCCTTGGGCCTTAGTTGTAGAGGTTCCATTGTAGATGTGTCACTTGGGTTGGGCATCTCACAGACACACTTATTCTCTGTATATGACCAGTTGTGGAACTCTGTAATAGTCTTCCTCTGTTTCAAAAGAAGCTTCTTTGATGAGCAGTGACTGACATACTTGGTCTGTAAATATAAGGATCCATATTTAGCACATATTTTTTTTTCGGTCTTTTTGAGACAGGGTCTCCCTGTAGCTCCAGCTGCCTGGAACTCACTGTGTAGACCAGGCTGGCCTCGAGCTCACAGAGGATCCACCTGCCTCTGCCTCCCAAGTGCTGGGATTAAAGGTGTGTGCCACCACAACTGGCCTATTTAGTGCATAGTAAGAAATTACATTTGTTTAGGGATGTGACAGCCTTAGGGTTTTCTCTAAGATCTATGACCTCTCCAGCCATGTGTATTTGGGCGTGTTTACAGTACCACACATTAGTTACCTCCCATTCAGTGGGCTTTAAGTCCAATTAGGTAGTTGCTGTTTGCCCCCAAAATAAAAACGTCACTACTGCACTAATATAGTTTGTCGTGATGGTCATTGTTGTAGTTTTTGGGCTTTAAAACTAGAGTTGGGCCACCAATTGTTGTTTTCCCTTAGTAGCTTACACACTGTCCTCCAAAAGTATGAGAGCTAGTCTTCAGGGAGCTGGCTTCCAGGTCAGTCCAGCTCCATTTCTCCAAGTCCTATGTCCAAAGTATGTCTTACCTTCAAGTTCTGGGAGACAATCAAGGGCTATGGCTGTCACCTGTGCAATTTTGGGAGCCACTAGGACTATCCTGGTCAAAAACTCAAAGGGAGGTTTCTCCTTTCTGGCACTGTTTCTTGTTATATAACCTTCAGCTGTTCACATGGACTCATGTAGAGATATTGTGTAGTGTTTTTTAGTAGGATTTTGAATTAATACATTTCCTTCTGGTTCTTCACACCAGCTATGAATTATTTATCTCTCTTCTCTCTCTCCCTGTCTAGCCTTCCCTCTTTCACCCCCAGTAAAAGTACCCCCATTTTCCCCATTTCACCCTGATAATACCTGTCTCCTGTGATCCACATCTGTTTTGATCAGGAAGCAGAGATAGGATAGGAAGTAGGGCTGGCTATAAACCTCAGTGCCTGTCACCCAGAGGTCCACTTTCTCCCAGGAGGTCCTGTCTTCCAAATGTTGTACAGTCTCTTAAAACAGTTTTATGAATTGGGAACCAAGTGTTCAAAGACATGAGCATGTGAGGGACATTTTATGTCCAAATCAAACTTTCCATCCTGGGCCCTGTAGGGTTATGGTCATCTCATAATCTAGAGTGCATTCATTTAAACTTCAAAAGATTCCATTGTCCTACAGTTCTGACACTGTTGGAAAGTTCAAAGTCTAAGTCTCTTCTGAGACTCAAAGCAGCCCATTAACTGTGAACCCTTGCAAAAACTATTAAACAGAGCTACATATTTCCAGCATACAAATGCACAGAGTAAATTATTCCTATTCCAAAGGGGATAGAAGAATAGCAAGGAAAGACCAGACCAAAGCAACAGTGAACTTCAAGAGCTCCATGTCAGGCATCCGGAGTTTGTGTTATCATCATCTGGACTCCAGTGGGCTTGGGGAGTTCTCTTTCTTCTTGGTTATATAAATGTAAAAGTGCTTTGTGTTTGACGTTTTGAGCTCACATTTTCTGCTTCACAACAGCAGAGATAGATACAAAAGGAGGCTCTTCCAGATCACTGCCTCATGTCTGGGGATTCTTGTCATTAGAGTAACTTAGTAGAAGGACTGTGGTGGGAGAACAGGAACATTCACACTTGACAGAGGTTGTTTTCCAGTGCAGTGGAGTGGGTCAGACTCACCAGCACATCAAATTTCTGATGACTTCTCTTTTGACATTTTATAACCATTTAATTTCTGATTTATATTTTAGGGAATTACCTAATCTATTATTTATAGCTTTTAAATTGTATGTGAAAATTATAAACATGCATTTAAAAATAAATTATTCTAGTATATTAAATATTTTATCGGCATACTATTAGGTAATTTTCGTATTGGTGGAATCATTCATCAGATTGATAGAGACTTGCAAAATATTGTGCTCATTTATAATTTACATATACTATACTTAATTTAGTATATAAAAATACTTCATATTCTTTTTGCAGATTTTAGAAAGAAAGAATAATGAATTAGAAGACTTGAAAATCTTATACAAAAAGAAACAAAGTGAAACTGAGGAGACTATAAGAAAACTTGAGAAGAAAGGTGAAGGTGTAAGCCATTAATAACATTTTGAATTTATCGTGGTGACTATAAAATTTGAAAGTAGAATTTCATTTCTGAGGTTTTGTGACTTCCATCAATGGGTGATTTTATACAGAGTTTTATGTGCCTGGGTAAACCCTGAGGAGAACCCCGAGGAGAACCTTAAGTCTATTCCCTATCTTCATATTCATTAAGAAAGAAAAGAAAACTCGTAACTAGATATTAAATTGATTGTGTTATGAACCACAACATAAGATTCCTTAGGTAATCACAAGAGAGATATTCTATTGTGGAGAAAATACCTTTTGTTTGGTTTTTTAAAGTTGGATATGTTTTAATTAGTTGAAGAAAAGAGTTTCCCAGTGGGATAACAATGGTGAAATTGGTAAGGTTTGTGTGTATACACAAGGCAAATGTTTGGCCACTTAGCTACATATCTATCCCACAGTTGTTTTGTGTATATATGTTTGTGCTCCTGTGTAATTTTGCTCCTGTAGTGATAAAGACCCAAAATATCTGAGTGATGGTCTTGGGATTACTGACAATGGAATTAAGATTTGTTGAAGGAAAAGATTTAGGCAGTGAATAACAACAAAGGACAAAGGACCTTCAGAGTTTGCTTTCTCCCTGATCAAACATTAATGTACTGTAATGGGTGATTATGTGCCTGACAATTTAGCAGGACAATTACATGTATGAATTAACCAAACAAATAGATATTTTAGATTGGTTTCTATTCTTAAATATTGGTGAAAGTAATCAGAAATTTCTTATTTTTTCCCACTAATTCTTAGTAGTGACTACAAAAATATTCTAAACTTATTTCATATTTTCTTCGTTATTCTGTTTTAAACTAGGCCTTTCAAATCTCCTTAAAGCTTGAAAAATACCAAAGCTTTAAGAAATTTTGTTTCTTAACCATGCATGGTGACACTTGTCTGTAATTTTAGCACTGTCTTGGGAACCTGGGACAAGAAGATCACAGGTTCCAGGTAATTTGGCTACAAAGTGATACACTGTCTTAAAAAGCGCATGTGGGTGTACACAGACACACACACACACACACACACACACACACACACATGCACACGCACGTTTCTTAAGGCTTTTAAAATGCACTCAGATGTTAGTTGAATGTTGAAAATGTGAAGTAAAATATTCTGCATATGCTAATGACTAATACTATGCTAATGTGCATTCTTCTCCCTTTATTTGTTGCATAAAGTTTAAGACTAAGAGAAATTTCTAGGGAAATGTTTCTAAAAGTAAGTGAATAGAAATGCAGTAAGTTAAGAAAATTAACCACTGAAGTAAAAATATTTCATTATTCACATGATACAAATACATTAATGAAATTTTCACTTAAATCTGTGACATTTTAATTAGAGGAAAGATAGAAATAGTTTATGTGAGAAATAGCTTATATAGTTTATAACATCTCAATTTTAATAACAAAATTGGAAAATGATTTTTAAAGTACCTCGGATAGAGCCGGGTGTGGTGGCACACATCTTTAGTCCCAGCACTCAGGAGGCAGAGGCAGACGGATCTCTGTGAGATTGAGGCCAGCTTGGTTGGTCTACATAGCGAGTTCCAGGTCAGCTGGGGCTACAGGGAGACCCTGTCTCAAAAAGACCAAATTAAAATAAAATAAAATTAAAAAGTGCCTATGATAAAAATATATTGAGAAAAGGAATCGTTTGTTCAGCTCGCCCACAGCTTCTGAGAACTTGCTTGTGTGGCAGTGTTAGGCCTTTAGATCAAAAATTGAAGTCAACATATTTTTCTCTTCAGTGAAAATGATCGTATTTAAGAGGAAATTGTCAAGGAAATGGATGTTATTATAAATGATTCACTGAAGAACGAGACCTGATTTCATGTGAATTAGAGGGGTTTCTTTCTCTGCAAGCAGAAGAATCTGGTAACTCTTTAAAAAGGTGATACTTGAGTTGAGGAGGATTCTTTCAACATCGGAGGAAGGGCATTTGAGGTAGTCAGGTTATCACAGTGGGTAGTAATATGATACAATATGTCCTCAGGAGCCTGCAGATAGGTTGCTGTATTTACAAGGCAGATTTAAGATGTGGAAGAGGCAAGAGTGTAGCCAGAGAATGGTTGGATCATGAGGAGCTGTGTTCCCTGTTAGAACACTGGCCTTTATCCTTCAGGTGAGAGCTTTAGACTGCTTTTCAGCCTGGTAGTCATTGAATTTGCCAGTGTTGCATGGCCTCTTTACAGTGGCAGAGGACCCATTAGAGGAGAAATACATGATGTTGACATGCTGTTTAATTTTCTAGGGAGAGAGTACAGATTAATTAATCAAGCTCATTTATGATTATAGAAATTATCAAAAAGAGCAAAGAAATGAGGGTCTTAGAAAAGTAAGACTAAAAATTTGAATTATCAGTTAACCAGCTCATTACATATATATATCAACAAAGTCATATGTGTTTCTAGGATTGGTTTAATTATATTTCCATAATTTTTGACAGTTCAGATCCTTATACGTGACTGTCAAGTAATCAGAGAGACTAAAGAAAACCAGATAACAGAGCTAAAAAAGATATGTGAACAAAGCACAGAATCCCTGAATAATGATTGGGAAAAAAAGGTAAGCTACACGAGATAGTATTGCAAAGTGTAAAAGTGTTATGTCTTAGGGTGACATTTAACTATAAAAATAATTTCAGAGAATATGTAGAAAAGTGTTGAAAAATAATTAAAATTTCAGATTAACTAGAAATAGCTAATATTCATGTTTTGGTATGTTTTCTTCTAGAAATCTATGGTCTGTAGACTACCTTTCATTTTGAAAACATTTTGATTTATTTTTGTGTGATTAGTATTACATGTTTGTCATAGCCAGGATATTTTAAGCAAAACAGTGAGCGAATTAGCAGTTTATTTATTTTTTAAAATTTGGGCCATTTATTTCTTGAAATTTCAGGTAGTTATTTAATTCAGACTGAACTTTATAGTAGAAACTTTTAAAAAATTATTTTTATTTTATGCGTATGAGTATATTGCCCACATGCATGCAAGTGTACCTGTGTTGTACAGTGCCCACGGTCAGAGGGTGTATTGGATTCCCTGGAACTGGAGTAACGGAAGGTTCTGCGCTCTCATGTAGGTGCTGGGAACCAGACCCATGCCCTCTGCTAGAGCAGCCAGTGTGCTTAACTGCTGAGCCATTGCTTCAGTCCCTGGAAATTGTTTTTGATATGAGTGAAGTATCTCATGCATAGTTCAAGATTATGCTAATGAGGAAGCCCCTGGATATCAGTACTGGGGACTTTCAGACCATCCTGAGTCACTTTGAATACTAGACATAACACTATTTTTAACATATACATTTCAGAAAAATTACCAATTAAGCATATAAGAGATTTGGAGGGCCTGTTATGATAACTAAAACTGCCTATATGAAAGTAGTAAAACCCACAGGTCTTTTATGTAGCTATTTCTGAGTTATCCTCACTCTTCTTGTTCAGCTAGAAACTGGCATAAAAGTTCTCAAATCCTTCCCAGTGCTGTTACTGAATCTTGGCTTTTCTGCTTCTAGTTCTTACCAAGTCTCAGTCTTTGTTTCTCCAGGATCTTAATAGTCAGATAAGAATTCACACTGCCTTTGTCAGATCCTTGCCTCTCTTTCTGTTCATGGATAATGAGTCAAATACATCTGTTAGATTATTTTGAACACCTGCTCTTCCCCACCCAGTGAGTGGCACTGGATCCAGCAAATAAATGTTAGAATTATATTCCCATTAAGACAAGAATGACCAGAAAGGTGAGAGCACCATTTTCAGCTTCTATCCTGAAGCTGTCCACTGAAACTTGTCTGGTTCTGTCCTGAAGCTGTCCACTGAAACTTGTCTGGTTCTGTCCTGAAGCTGCCCACTGAAACTTGTCTGGTTCTGTCCTGAAGCTGCCCACTGAAACTTGTCTGGTTCTGTCCTGAAGCTGCCCACTGAAACTTGTCTGGTTCTGGCCTGAAGCTGTCCACTAAAACTTGTCTGGTTCTGGCCTGAAGCTGCCCACTAAAACTTGTCTGGTTCTGGCCTGAAGCTGCCCACTAAAACTTGTCTGGTTCTGGCCTGAAGCTGCCCACTAAAACTTGTCTGGTTCTGGCCTGAAGCTGCCCACTAAAACTTGTCTGGTTCTGGCCTGAAGCTGCCCACTAAAACTTGTCTGGTTCTGGCCTGAAGCTGCCCACTAAAACTTGTCTGGTTCTGGCCTGAAGCTGCCCACTAAAACTTGTCTGGTTCTGGCCTGAAGCTGCCCACTAAAACTTGTCTGGTTCTGGCCTGAAGCTGCCCACTAAAACTTGTCTGGTTCTGGCCTGAAGCTGCCCACTAAAACTTGTCTGGTTCTGGCCTGAAGCTGCCCACTAAAACTTGTCTGGTTCTGGCCTGAAGCTGCCCACTAAAACTTGTCTGGTTCTGGCCTGAAGCTGCCCACTAAAACTTGTCTGGTTCTGGCCTGAAGCTGCCCACTAAAACTTGTCTGGTTCTGGCCTGAAGCTGCCCACTAAAACTTGTCTGGTTCTGGCCTGAAGCTGCCCACTAAAACTTGTCTGGTTCTGGCCTGAAGCTGCCCACTAAAACTTGTCTGGTTCTGGCCTGAAGCTGCCCACTAAAACTTGTCTGGTTCTGGCCTGAAGCTGCCCACTAAAACTTGTCTGGTTCTGGCCTGAAGCTGCCCACTAAAACTTGTCTGGTTCTGGCCTGAAGCTGCCCACTAAAACTTGTCTGGTTCTGGCCTGAAGCTGCCCACTAAAACTTGTCTGGTTCTGGCCTGAAGCTGCCCACTAAAACTTGTCTGGTTCTGGCCTGAAGCTGCCCACTAAAACTTGTCTGGTTCTGGCCTGAAGCTGCCCACTAAAACTTGTCTGGTTCTGGCCTGAAGCTGCCCACTAAAACTTGTCTGGTTCTGGCCTGAAGCTGCCCACTAAAACTTGTCTGGTTCTGGCCTGAAGCTGCCCACTAAAACTTGTCTGGTTCTGGCCTGAAGCTGCCCACTAAAACTTGTCTGGTTCTGGCCTGAAGCTGCCCACTAAAACTTGTCTGGTTCTGGCCTGAAGCTGCCCACTAAAACTTGTCTGGTTCTGGCCTGAAGCTGCCCACTAAAACTTGTCTGGTTCTGGCCTGAAGCTGCCCACTAAAACTTGTCTGGTTCTGGCCTGAAGCTGCCCACTAAAACTTGTCTGGTTCTGGCCTGAAGCTGCCCACTAAAACTTGTCTGGTTCTGGCCTGAAGCTGCCCACTAAAACTTGTCTGGTTCTGGCCTGAAGCTGCCCACTAAAACTTGTCTGGTTCTGGCCTGAAGCTGCCCACTAAAACTTGTCTGGTTCTGGCCTGAAGCTGCCCACTAAAACTTGTCTGGTTCTGGCCTGAAGCTGCCCACTAAAACTTGTCTGGTTCTGGCCTGAAGCTGCCCACTAAAACTTGTCTGGTTCTGGCCTGAAGCTGCCCACTAAAACTTGTCTGGTTCTGGCCTGAAGCTGCCCACTAAAACTTGTCTGGTTCTGGCCTGAAGCTGCCCACTGAAACTTGCCTGGTTCTGTCCTGAAGCTGTCCACTGAAACTTGTCTGGGCCTCTTCCATTTGTCTGTGGTCCCTTTATCTTAATTTTTGATATTTTTTTAAAGCTTCGTGCATTTAAACAATGCATACTTAATAATTTTTGTCAATGAACCTTTGTGCATGTATGTGATGTATGGTCCTTCTTCGTCATTATACCCATTCTGTGTTTGATTCATAAATGTGACCTTTGGGTTTGTTGTTTGTATCAACTATGGAATGCTGAAAAGGAGTTTCTTTTGGGGAATCTGAGTAGAGGAGAATCATTTTTACAGTAATATTGTATAAATGAAACAAATACTACAGACATGAGATAAATATTCCCAACGAACAATAAGATTATAATATTTACGTTTTTCTGTTTGTATTTTTCAGATTGATGTTAATACTTAATTGAGCAATGTATTATTTGATTTACTTACTATTTCTACCTGAGATGTATAATTCCTTTAATATTTGTCATGTAGTGAAGTTTTCTGTTTAGGAAGACAAAAACTTGTTTCTAAATTATGTTCTTTGCTTGATATTTTATTTAATGTTTACTTGTAGGTTTTAGTTTTTGTTGTTCAGATCACTGTAAAAATACAAGTAAGAAAATTAGAGAACAGTTTTTGAACTGCAATATAATATATTCCATAGTAGTAAAAGTGTCTCGATTTCATCATGTAGCTCCACAATGCTGTAGCAGAGATGGAAAAGGAAAAATTTGAGCTTCAAAAGCGACATAACGAGACAATTCAGGAATTGCTTGAGGATACAAATGTACGTCTGAATAAAATGGAGGGTGAATACATGATGCAAACACAGTCCACGGTAAGGTCTTTCTTTTTTGTTTAATGTTTCTAGAAATGCTCCTATTTTCCATGTCCTCATGCTTCCCTGAAGTGTATGTACTATGTATAACTTGATGCCAGGCTAAAAGATAGACCTTTGCTTTCCTACTTAATCATGTTTCTATGTGATAATGCATAGTCCCTGGAAGTTTGCTTAGAGGTTGGGCTCTGGGTTGGTTGATGCTGTTTCTGTTTATCTCCTCAAAAGCCTTTGCAAATCTTTGCTTTTTCCATTAACTTTTACTTCAGAGATAATTTTTTCCTTTTAAAATTCTTTTATATCAAATGTGATTTTTTTCTGAAAATACTTAATGTTGGTGTGAAGAAAGTCAAAAGAAGATAGAACTTTTGTGACTAGCCTGACACATTTTCTTAGTAAATGTCTTGATTGAGAAACCATACACACATCATGGGTAAATCTCAAATTCTCAATAGTTTGGGTGTCCTAACTCTTCATGTATTGTTTATCTCTTTGATAGGAAAATAGTAAGTTGTTGGAAATATTAAATAAAATGAAGTTATGTAATAAACTCTCAATATATAATTGTTGATATTATCTTTGAAGCTACAATGTACAAGAGTAATAGAGTCATATAACTAAAAAAAGTTAATCAATACTTGCTTGGTGATGGAGTTTTGGCTTCCATTCCCTCATAAAATGAGAGGAACGGGATAAAGAAAAAACAGTAATACAGATGGGCAAAGAGAACAAGAGGTTATTAATAATTTTTGGAGTTTGTATTAATTACTTTTATGTCATGTGGCACAATACAGAAACAAACTATATAAAAGAGGTTTATTTTGGTGTAGGATTTCAGAGGGTCTTAGTCTAGGATGGCAGGGAAGACTTGTGAAGTTCATAGTGGCAGGAGGATGTAGCAGAGGCTTCTCAGAACAGTGGACCAGGAAGCAGATACATCACTACCAGGCCAGGATAGAGACTATCACCTTCTAAGGTCCACCCTTAGTGACCTGTTCCTACCAGCCAGATTCCACAGCTCCCTCAAACAAAACGAGTAGCTGGGAAATAGGTATTCAAAACCTGATCCTATGGGAAACATTTTAGATTCAAATCATAACAGAATTGGGTAGGTAATGGAGAAGTTTAAATTGAGTTGAGAGATTGAAAAAAGTGAAGAAGTCTGTGAAGCAAAACCAAATTATTCCACAGAATCTGTGGAGGCACCAGGCATCTTTGCAGGAAGAGGTGTAAGCAGCACTTCAACAAGGAGGTTACTAGGTCTCTAAGAAGTAGTGAGGGTCAGACACTGTCTCTCCACCCCCCCCCCCGAAACCATCAGTTGCCGAAAGTTTCTTAAGTTAGGTTGGAATTTCTTACCCAAGAAATGGTAAGAAATTTCTTACCCTGCATGTCTATACTGGGATTTTGCCTGATTCGAGCTTGCATAGGACTTGTGTGTGCTGTCACCATTGCTGTGAGTTCATATGAATAACTGAGCAGCTGTCTGGAAGATTGTTTCCTTGTGGTCATCCACCCCCTCTGGATCTTACAATCTTTCTACCTCCTCTTCCATAATGATCCCTGAGCCCTGGAAAACAGAGGCTTGAAATAGGTGTCTTAATCATGGATAAGCACTCTGCAGTCTCTTGTTCTCTGCACATTGACCAATTGTGGGTTTCTGTGTTAATTACCATCTGCCATATAAGAACACTTCTGTGATGAGAGTTGAGAGATGCATTCACCCAATGCATAGAGGTTGCATTGAAGATGTGTCACTTAGAACAGACACTGTTCTCTGTGTTTGTCCAGTTCTGGAACTCTGTAATAGTCTCCATCTGTTGCAGAAAGAAGCTTTATGATGAGGGGTGAAAGGCACACTTGTCTGTAAATATGAGGATACATATTTAGAATAAAGTAAGAAATTACATTGGTCTATGGATGTGGCAGAAATAGATTTTTCTCTAGTGTCTATGTCCTTTCCAGCCATGAGTATTTGACTATGAATTTCCTCCCATTGAGCTAGCCTTAATCCCAATTAGACAGCTGTTGATTACCCCCAAGAAGAAGTGCCGCTACTGCACCAATAGTGATGGACCCATTGGATGGACCTACATTGATGGACATTGGAGGACACAAATCAAACTCTATAGGCCATTCTCTCTCTCTCTCTCTCTCTCTCTCTCTCTCTCTCTCTCCATATATATATGTATTTGAGAGTAAGTTAAATTGGGCTGTGGGAAGTGAAGGGAGATGTCGTTAAGGGAGGGGATCTACATACCATCGAACTATATTGTATAAAAAAAATCACAAAAATTCAATAAAAAATAAAATAAATCATAATCCTTGTAGAGATGGCGTAAACATGCTAGTGTAGCAATGTTTAAATATTTTTAAGGGACTTTGTTATGGACTGTGTTAATAATTTAAGATAAATTTTTTCAGATGTGTCTAACAAATGCAATATGATAATACTTGTCTAGTGTCTTGAGCCACTGATGTCTACATGGTAAGTGGTAATGCTGTACAATATACTCTTTTGACTGTCATGCTGTTTACACATAACACTTTTAAATATGTCATAGTCTCTTCAAATTACTTTCCAAAAATGACTTTGGAAAGGTTTTGACATATTTGGGTAATAATGATTGTGGAATAATTTTGAATACTACCTCATCTTTTATGGCAAGCTGGAGTCCAAGTATCTTCAGGGTAGGATTTTGGAAAACTTCCACAAAAGTACATGCATTTCATCTTTTTTTTGTTCCATAGGATTAATAACAAACATGACAGTCTTTATAATTATAAAAAACAAGCAGTGAGAGTGAGGTGCACAGGACGTTTATCCCATGTTTTCATGTGCTTAAAATGTCCTCTGGCTCTCCCTGTAGCCCCAGCTGGCCTGGAACTCACTATGTAGACCAGGCTGGCCTTGAACTCACAGCAATCTGCCTGTGTCTGCCTCCAAGTGCTGTGATTAAAGGTGTGCGCCAACACGCCTGCCCAACTTCTACTTTTAAAAATTGATTATTGGTCCTCTCTGCTTCCCTGGGCATGCACGACCCAACCGCCTCTCTCTCCAGGGTAAGTCCATTGTGCCCTCCGTGCCTTGACTCCCCTAGCCTAATTCACCCTCCCATTTTCCCTCCCAGTCTTTCCTCCTAGCCTGGGTCCTGTCCCATTCCTTGTCTTGGCACCCCAGACACTTGGGGAACCACCACTGCTTCCTGATCCTTTGCATCCAGACCAACTCAGTGCCTTCTCTAGTCCCCAGGAGCACTGCTTCTGGGCCTGGCCTCACCTTCACCTCCCTCTGCTTCTCTGGGCCTGCATCACCCACAGGCTTCTCTCCCACCTGCAGGCCTCTCTCTCCAGGATAAGTCCATCACACCCTCTGTGCCTTGACTCCCCCACCTTCATTCAGCCCCCAACCCCCAGCCTAGGTCCTGTCCGATTCCTTCTCTTGGTGCCCCAGACACCTGGGGAACCACCACTGCTTCCTGATCCTTTGCATGGAGACCAACTCAGTTCCTTCTCAGGTCACCAGGAGCACTCTGGGCTGGCCTCACCCTCACCTCCCTCTACTTCCCTGGGCTTGCACCACCTGCCAGCCTCTTTCCTGGACCAAGGGCTGACCTTTACTCCTCCTGATGCTTTGCATCCAGACCAACCCAGCTCCTCAGCCGCAGTCCCCAGGAGCCCTTGGGGCTTCTTCTTGCCTCCATCTGCCTTTGCATCTCTGGGTGGCATGGCCACCAGCTGCCCTAGACCAGCATCTTTCTAGGGTCCGGCTCCCAGACCAGTCCAACCCCCAAATTCTTGAGGCCAAAATTTTTCCTGGAGGGATCCAGACCTTAGGAGAAAGCCTGAGAGCATCCAGTCCTCATCTGACTTGGGCCTCTGTGGGAACTCCTGAAGACAAAAGCAATCTGGCCACTCCAATATAAAATCAAAAGATAGAACCCGAAACTTTAGAGGAACCAGCTTTTCATGCCCAAAAAGTAAACCACAAAGACACATACAGTTCACAAAAAGAAGCAGACCTACACTTGAAGGCTTGAGTCTCATACAAGAATCAGAAACTACAAAAGAAATTCACATGTCAAAATCACAGAGAAAAAATAATAACAAGAAAAGCCAAAATAACACATCCCCACCAAATACCAATAGTCCTCTAGGGGAGTACAATGAGAACCCCATAGAGATAATGCAGGACATGGAACTCAAAAGAACAATTATAAACATGATAAAAGAATTCAGCGAATCTAAAGAACACCAAGGTAATCATAGAGCTGAAGGAAGATAGGGATAAACTTCTGAATGAATTCAGAAAAGAGCTAGAAATATTGAAGAATACTCAGGCTGAAACAAAGAACGAAGTGAAACACTCCATAAGCAAATTAGAAACGACAGGAGAATGCCTCACCAATAGGATGAATGGAATGGAAAGCAGAGTATCAAGACTGGAAGATAAAGTGGACAAACTCCACCACTCAAGCAAAGATTATGAAAAATTTAAGAAATCACAAGAATGGAATATGCAGGAATTGTGTGACACCATAAAAAGACCAAACTTATAAATGATAGGCATACAGGAAGGAGAAAAATCCCAAGATAATGGGATGGACCAGATCTTCAACAGAATTGTGGAAGAAAATTTCCCCAAATTAAAGAAAGACATGCCCATATGAATACAAGGAAACGTATAGAACACCAAACAGACGGGACCAGAAAAAGAAACTCTCCATGGCACATCATAGTAAAAACACTAAATGTACAAAACAAAGAGACAATACTGAAAGCTGCAAAAGAGAAAAAACAAGTCACATATAAAGGAAAACCCATTAGGATTACAGCTGACTATTCAGTGCAAACGATGAAAGCCAGAAGAGCCTGGACCAAAGCATTCCCAGTTTTAAATGACCACAGATACCAACCCAGATTACTATACCCAGCGAAAATGTCTATTATGTCGAAGGGGAAACAAAAATCTTCCATGACATAAATAGGCTCAAGGAATT